TGTCTGATTATGTATATCTCTCTCTCCTTTCTGTGGAATCTGCGTGTCCACACCGACCGGGGCTCCACAGCTGCTCAGTGGTCTCCACAGTTGTGGTTTTTTCAGGTCTCAGATAAGATCCCCAGTTGAAGCTCTGATGTGGCTGTGAGAGGCAGCAAGTACAGGTGTTTACCTATGCTGCCATCTTCCCAGAATCCCCAATATCATTTTTTTTAAAAATGTTTCAGGGCCGAGGTGCCTAAAGTGCCGCTGCTGCCGCAGAAGCCCCCACTGCAAAGCCCTGTGAAGCTTCCAACACTGTCGCCTCCCACCTGGCACTCCACTTGGTTTAGAGATTCACTTGTTGATAAATATGTATTTGTTGTTCATAATTTTTATCTTTACTTTTTTCTTCTTCCTCTTCTTAAAAAATACCTTTCACCATTTCAAATAATACTGGTTTGGTGTTGATGAACTCCTTTAGCTTTTTCTTATCTGTGAAGCTCTTTATCTGCCCTTCAATTCTGAATCATAGCTTTGCTGGGTAGAGTAATCTTGGTTGTAGGTTCTTGCTATTCATCACTTTGAATATTTCTTGCCACTCCCATGTTGGCCTGCATAGTTTCTGTTGAGAAATCAGCTGACAATCATATGGGTGCTCCCTTGTAGATAATTAACTGTTTTTCTCTTGCTGCTTTTTGTTGTTGTTGTTTTGTTTGTTTGTTTGTTTGTTTTAATTTATTTTTTAAAATAAATCTTTATTGTTCATATTATTACAAATGTTCCTCTTTTTCCTCCCCTCCATTGCTCCCCTCTACCAGGTTCCCACTCCACCCGCTGCCCTTTCCCCACCCCCAATTGTCCTCATCCATAGGTGCACAGTTTATGTTCAGTCTCTTCCCACACCCCCCTCTTCCCTTTTCCCCCAAGAATCATCAGTTCACTCCCCTTCCATACCTCTGATTCTATTATATTCAACAGTTAATATTGTTCATCAGATTTTATTTTTAATTCCCTTGGTTTTTAGATTTACTTGTTGATAGTTACACATTTGTTGTTCATAATTTTTATCTTTATTTTCTTCCTCTTCCTAAAGAACCCCCTTCAGCAATTCATATAATTCTGGTTTGGCTGTGATGAACTCCTTTAGCTTTTTTTTTTTTATTTGTGAAGCTCTTTATCTGGCCTAGATTATCTTTGCTGGGTAGATTATCTTTGGCTGTAGGTTCTTACTATTCATCACCTTGAATATTTCTTGCCATTCCCGTCTGGTTTGCATGGTTTCTGTTGAGAAATCAGCTGACAATCATATAGGTGCTCCTTTATAGGTAACTACCTGCTTTGCTCTTGCTGCTTTTAATATTCTCTCTTTGTCTTTTGCCCTTGGCATTTTAATCATGATGTGTCTTGGTGTGATCCTCTTTGGATTCCTTTTGTTTCAGGTTGTGTGTGCTTCCTGGACTTGTAAGTCTATTTCTTTCCCCAGGTGGGGGAAGTTTTCAGTCATTATTTCTTCAAATAGGTTTTCAGTATCTTCCTCTCTTTCTTCTTCTGGCACCCCCATAATTCTGATGTTGGTACGCTTGAAGTTGTCCCAGAGGCTTCTTATACTATCTTCAAGTTTTTCGATTCTTTTTTCTTTTTGCTTTCCTGGTTAAGTGTTTTTTGCTTCTTTGTATTTCAAATCTTTGACTTGATTCTTGCATTCCTCTAGTCTGCTGTGGGATCTCTGTATATTTTTTATTCCAGTCGGTGTATGTTTAATTTCTAGTTGGTCTTTTTTCATATCCTCGAGGGTCTTTTCTGGGAAATTCTTGAAAAACCTTATAACTGTGGTTTTGAACTCTATCTCCAGTCATTTGTTTTCCTCCATTTCTTTAGTTTGTGATCTGTTTCTTTGTCTCCGCATTTTTGCTGCTTCCCTGAATTGGTAGGGTGACTTTGTCTGAGGCTACCCAACAGGAGCTACAGTGAGAACTACAGTTTTCTCCTCTTTGCTTGGGGTTTGGAAGTTTTGGAGCTGTCTGACCAATGCTGCAGTTTGTTAGGTTAAGCTGTGATAGGGCAGGCCATTTATATGCAAAAACTGCTGTGTGGAGTTTGGGTAAATTTGTAGATTGCGCGGGGCGGGGTCTCAGGGAGTCACTAGGCTAAGGCGTGACAAACAGTGATGGCTGCCAGTCAGCTGTCTCTGCGTTTCCGAGTTTCCAAGTCCCCATGTTCCGTGCCCCAGGGCAGTAAACAATGATTGCTGCATGCACCTCTGCAAGAAAGTCACCTCATTTTCCGACCCAATGGCAGACAGTCCAGCTTCTCCCCATAGGAGTTTGGGTCCCTAGCATCTACCCAGAAACTGGAGTTCAGAGTAATCAGAACTCCAGCTTGTCTCACTTGGGGTTGAAAAAGGCAGTGCACCCAGATGCCTGCTGCCAGCCCCATTCGCACACCTCCATACCTCAGCTTTTCAGCGCTTGTCTCAGTGCTCTTTTGTTTTTCCTTTTGGTTGTAGAACTTCCACTCAGCCAGCTTTCCTGTGATTCTGGGTGATAGGCGTTTTGTCTTTTAGTTGTAGTTTTGAAATTGTTGTGCGAGGCAGCAATTTAGGTGTTTACCCATACTGCCATCTTGGTTTCTCTCCCTGCACACTTATTTTTTATTTTTTTATTTTTTAACAGACTTCACAAGGGCAGGGCCCAGGTCTGTTTATTCCCTAGAGAATATAACATAATAGGTGCTCAATAAACATTTCTTAACAGAATATCTCTCTTGGTCCTACTTTCTTTCTTTTTTAATTACTTTATCCCCCTGCACACTCTTGCTACCTGATAATTCCATTTGTGAAAGAATGTAGGAGACTAGCAGTTGGACTCTGTACCCAGTTAATCACTGTCCCTAATACACATTCAGAAAATCACTTCTCCTCCCTTAGTTATCTGGTCCTGTAAGAGCTATTTATCTAGATACTCCCAATCTACAAGGGTCATGAGCCAAGGATGTAACAGGTTAATTAGAGGGAGGTCACTGGCATCATCCTCGATGGACATTAGATACAATCTAAGTTAATCATTCTGATTCTTGAAGGTGGGGCGGTCAAGTGTTGGGGGAGGGGAGAGCTGTGAGAGTCCACTACAGAAGCATAATAGTTAGGGAACAAAGAAATTCAGAAATATATAAAGAGAAAATCTCATTGTCTAAGATATTGTTCAGGATCTGGATCTTAGAGTCCCCTGAACCAGCAGTGCTGCTTTGAATAAAGGCTTTTCCTGAAACCTCAGAGAGGAAGGGAGAGTTCGAAACATCGATGAGAGCCAAAACCGGTTTGGCTCAGTGGATAGAGCGTCGGCCTGTGGACTGAAAGGTCCTGAGTTCGATTCCAGTCAAGGGCATGTACCTTGGTTGGGGGCACACCCCCAGTAGGGGGTATGCAAGAGGCAGCTGATCGATGATTCTCTCTCATTGATGTTTCTAACTCTCTATCCCTCTCTCTTTCTCTCTGTAAAAAATCAATAAAATATATTTAAAAAAGAAAAAGAAAAAAGAAAAAAAGAAACATCGATGAGAGAGAAACATTGATCAGCTGCTTCCTGCACACTCCCCATTGGGGATGTGCACACAACCAAGGTACATGCCCTTGACTGGAATAGAACCTGGGACCCTTCAGTCGGCAGGCCTACGCTCTATCCACTGAGCCAAACCGGTTAGGGTGAATTGGTTCCTTCTGAAGCTGCAAGGGAAGGCTCCTAGGGTTTGTAGATGCCGTCTTCATGTTCACATGGCATTCTCCCTGTAACCATGCCTGTCTGCTAACTTCCTACTTTTATGAGGACACTGGTTCAACTGGATGAGGGGTTACCCTAGTGACCTCATTTAACCTCCCTTCACAAAGACCCAGTCTCCTAGTAAGGTGATATTCTGAAGTAACTGGGGGTTAGGACTTCAGCATACGAATTTGTGGAGGAACAAAATTCATCCCCTAAGATCCTCAAAGAGAACCTGGCTCCTGAGAGGCCACTCATGAGCCTCATAAGGAAAGAGCTATACATCACACTTCCTTAGTGAAAGTCTCACCTGGGTTAACTGGACCTCAGCTGACATCTCCCTGTCCCTTAAAACCCCATTCGATTGTCTGAAAGCCCCTTTCCACACTAGGAAGTCCAGATCCTTCCTTGAGCTGTCTTTGAATTCCAGGATGGAAGAGAAGGGAGCTGCTCCTGTTTCAGGTACAAGTGTTACTTCTGGGCTTTGTCTGCCGAAGCCTGGCTCCCTGAGCCCCCACAACACTCCACTCCTCCATGACTGTCGCACAAAAGCCACCATCTGAAGACATTCTGTGTTTCATTGGGCACTGCACCACTTTTTAAAAAAAAATGTTTTTATTGATTTTATTTTATTTATTTTTTTGAGAGAGAAAGAAAGAGGGAAAGAGATAGAAACATTGATGAGAGAAATACATCAGGGCTCCTTATACAGGTTCGGGGTGCTTTCCCTGTAGAGAGAGTCAGATTGGCTGCCTCCTGCACACACCCCCACCAGTGATTGAGGCTGCAACCAGGGCATGTGCCCTGACAGAAAAGCTACCTCTTTAAAAAAACAAAACAAAAAAAAACCTTATTTTTTACAGAGAGGAGGGGAGACGGATAAAGTGTTAGAAACATTGATCAGCTGCCTCCTGCACACCTCCTACTGGGGATGTGCCCACAACCAAGGTACATGCTCTTGACTAGAATTGAACCTGGACCCTTGAGTCCGAAGGCCGACACTCTACTGAGCCAAACTCTATCCCAGTTAGGGTGCTATCTCTTTTTTTATTTTTAAAATATATTTTTATTGATTTCAGAGAGGAAGGGAGAGGGAGAGATAGAAACATCAGTAATGAGAGAGAATCATTGATCTGCTGCCTCCTGCACGCCCCCTACCTAGGATCAAGCCCAAAACCTGGGCATGTGTCCTTGACCAGATTCAAGCCCGGAACTCTTCAGTCCGCAAGCTGAAGCTCTATCCACTGAGCCAATCCAACTTAATAAGCTTTTAAAATACAAATTTCCCCCTCCTTGTTCTTAAAAGGGATCCTGACAGAGCCTCAGATGGCTTACAGCTCTCAGGTCATGGACTGGTCATAGGTGTGCTTGCCTTGATACACAGCAGGCACTGTCGGTGCTCACTGGGACTGCAGCCCACAGCCCCAGCTCCAGGGAGCACCGTGGAGCAGGACGCTGCATAGCAACCCTAGAAAAGGTCACTAAGTGATTCCAACCATAGGGGTGACCCATATCAACTGTGGCCATCAGCGTGGCTCCGTAGGGGACATGGAAAGGTTGGCTCCTGGGAGAACACGGCAGAGACACAGAAAAGCCACAAGGCTGCCTCCTTGCCCATCAGGCCACCCCACCCCACCCCAGCTTGCTCAAATGCAGACTTCTGGCCACATCCCAAGAGAAGATTGAGGATGAGGGCATGGAATTTGCATGTTAAAAGTTCCCTGGGTGATGCTGATGTGGAATGTTCCAGAAGCACAGTTCCAGAGGCACTGATTTGGATCCCGAGTTCTGTGGAGAGTGGGCCATGAACGAGATGGCTCCGGTTTCACCCACTCATCACCCAGGAGTGCTGAGGAAGCAGGGACCCAGGTTAAGAGGGCGCTCAATCTACTGTCTTTCCGTCAGCATTGAGCGGACAGGAGCCAAGCAGTTCTCCTTGAGGGAACTGCAGACACGCAGTGTGCAGGCAAAAAGAGGTTTTTACAGATAGGGAGGGTGCCCTGTTGAATGGAACAATTCCGGATTCAGAGTGGTGACTGGCAAGGAGGTCCAGGGCCAGCCTGTGGAAGGTCACCCTTGTGGTCATCGGTGTCACCCAGAACGTACAGCACTGGTGCCCAGGGTGGTCTCAGGCCTGGGTCCCAGTTCCCCTCCCATGTGGTGTTGACTGGGACCTGGTGGAAGCGGTACTGGGTGAGAAACTTGGGGAAAAGTGAGGGGGGAGGGAGTGCTGCGGTTCTGTCTCCCAATGGGGCCTGTCCTCTAAAGACCCTGGCACCTGAGCAGCTGTTGTCAGGCAGGGCTTGTGCTGCAAGGAGTCAGCAGGCTGTGTTCTGAGAAAAGCCAGCCATTCTGGGAAAGCACAGTCCTGGGAAGGCCACCCAGCGTCAAGGCCAGGGGGGAGGAGGCTGAGCACTTCCTGTGTGCGGTTCCAGGGCACGCCTTTGTCTCCCACCCACCCCACCCTTTCCCCCCGGGCTTAGCTCTACCCACCTTGCTGGGCTGCCCTGGGAACAGGATGGAGCTGGGCAGCGATCACCACCCCCTACAGGCCGGTGGTGGGAGGACGGGCCCGCCATGTAGCTAGCGTCCTGTCCCCCCTCAGCGGGGGGCGATGTTCCCCTCAGCGGGAGGCGGTTTTCCCCTCAGCGGGAGATGTCCCCCCTCAGCGGGGGGCGGTGTTCCCCTCAGCGGGGGGGGGGGGGGCCGATGTCCCCCCTCAGCGGGAGATGTCCCTCTCAGCAGGAGATGTCCCCCCTCAGCGGGAGGAGGTGTTCCCCTCAGCGGGAGATGTCCCCCTCAGCGGGAGGCGATGTTCCCCTCAGCGGGGGGCGGTGTTCCCCTCAGCAGGAGGAGGTGTCCCCCCTCAGCGGGAGATGTCCCCCTCAGCGGGAGGAGGTGTCCCCCCTCAGCGGGAGGAGGTGTCCCCCCTCAGCGGGAGGAGGTGTCCCCCCTCAGCGGGAGGAGATGTCCCCCTCAGCGGGAGATGTCCCCCCTCAGTGGGAGATGTCCCCCCTCAGCGGGAGATGTCCCCCTCAGCGGGAGGAGGTGTCCCCCCTCAGCGGGAGGAGATGTCCCCCTCAGCGGGAGGAGGTGTCCCCCTTCAGCGGGAGGAGGTGTCCCCCCTCAGCGGGAGGAGATGTCCCCCTCAGCGGGAGGCGGTGTCCCCCCTCAGCGGGAGGAGGTGTCCCCCTCAGCGGGGGGGGGCGATGTCCCCCCTCAGCGGGAGATGTCCCCCTCAGCGGGAGATGTCCCCCCTCAGCGGGAGATGTCCCCCCTCAGCGGGAGGCGGTGTTCCCCTCAGCGGGAGATGTCCCCCTCAGCGGAGGTGTCCCCCCTCAGCAGGAGGAGATGTCCCCCTCACCGGGAGATGTCCCCCCTCAGCGGGAGATGTCCCCCCTCACCGGGAGATGTCCCCCCTCAGCGGGAGATGTCCCCCTCACCGGGAGGCGGTGTCCCCCCTCAGCGGGAGGAGATGTCCCCCTCAGCGGGGGGGGGCGATGTCCCCCCTCAGCGGGAGATGTCCCCCTCAGCGGGAGATGTCCCCCCTCAGCGGGAGATGTCCCCCCTCAGCGGGAGGCGGTGTTCCCCTCAGCGGGAGATGTCCCCCTCAGCGGGAGGTGTCCCCCCTCAGCAGGAGGAGATGTCCCCCTCACCGGGAGATGTCCCCCCCTCAGCGGGAGATGTCCCCCCTCACCGGGAGATGTCCCCCCTCAGCGGGAGATGTCCCCCTCACCGGGAGATGTCCCCCCTCAGCGGGAGGCGGTGTCCCCCCTCAGCGGGAGGAGGTGTCCCCCCTCAGCGGGAGGCGGTGTTCCCCTCAGCGGGGGGCGGTGTTCCCCTCAGTGGGGGATGATGGCCCCCCTCAGCGGGAGGAGGTGTCCCCCCTCAGCGGGAGGCGGTGTCTCCCCTCAGCGGGAGGCGGTGTCCCCCTCAGCGGGGGGCGGTGTTCCCCTCAGTGGGGGATGATGGCCCCCCTCAGCGGGAGGAGGTGTCCCCCCTCAGCGGGAGGAGGTGTCCCCCCTCAGCGGGAGGAGGTGTCCCCCCTCAGCGGGAGGCGGTGTCCCCCTCAGCGGGAGATGTCCCCCCTCAGCGGGAGGCGGTGTCCCCCTCAGCGGGAGGCGGTGTCCCCCTCAGCGGGAGGAGGTGTCCCCCCTCAGCGGGGGGCGATGCCCCCCACCAGCAGGGGCAGCAGGAGCAGCAGGAGGGACACGGACAGCCGCCCAGCCGCCCGGCTGATCTCACACTGACAGTCGCAGGGTTCGGACTGGATCGTGGCTCTGGGGGGCCTGGGGGGGCGGGGGCCGGCGCTGGGGGCCGGGCAGTCCAGCCACTGGGGGCCCATGGGCCGGGGGGAGTCCGGCTCGGCCTTGACGGTGCCCTTGGGGAAGCGCCAGTAGTGGGCGCCCTTGAAGAAGTAGGTGTCCCCTGCGGAGGAGGTGGGGGAGAGGGGGAGAGAGAGAGAGAGAGAGAGAGAGAGAGAGAGAGAGAGAGAGAGAGAGAGAGAGAGAGAGAGAGAGATGCTGGGCTGGTGCGGGCTGCCCGAGCCCTGCCCACCCGACGGCTCCTCGAGGTTCCCCCTTTTCCTCCCTACGCCCCCGGGGGTGACCTCTAGTCCCAGCCCCAGGGCCAGCCGCTTGCAAGCCGCCGGGCGCGGGCTCTCCTACCGTCGTTGCTGACGGCGACGTCGTCGGGGCTGGGAGGCGCGCCCTCCCAGAGACTCAGGTCGCGCGGGTAGCCCGGGTCCGGGCGCGCGGCCGCCTCGTCGAACCGCCAGTAGCGGTGGCCCCGGACCAGGTAGGTCTTGCCGTTGAGCGGCCACGAGAACACGGCGTCCACCTCCTCCCCCTGCGGCAGCCCCAGCTCGGCCAGCGGCCGCGCGGCGCCCTCTAGCTGCCGGTCCTTGAACACCCAGAACCAGGGGCCTGCGGGCAGGGAGCCTGGTGAGGGAGGGAGCTGGGTGCCCCTCCCCCTTGGCCCGGCCTCGCCCGTGGGGCGCCCCACTCACCACTGAAGAGCAGGATTCGGCCGTCCCGGTGCCGGGTGTAGGCAGCCTGGATGACATTCACCTTGGGGGGCAGACCCTCCCAGAAGCGGTGGAGCCGGGCAGGCCGGGGGGACACCAGCTGTCCTGAGGGTTGGAGGCGCCAGAACCAGGGGCCTGTGGGAGAAGGGGTGGGCCTGGAGCGAGAGATGGCAAATGGCCTTGTCCCCCAGGGTGTGCGGGCGGCTGGGACTTAGCGCTGGGTGAGAGGTCCATCTGGAAACCAAAGTGTCCAGTGGCTCTAGGTGATGAGACGTCCCGCTTTTCGTGCGACAAACTGTTAAAAATCGGGACTGTCCCGCCAAAAGCAGGATGTCTGGTCACCTTACTAGGGTGACCAGCTGGCCCGGGTCTTTCCTTCTACCGCCACCCCCAATGTGTGTGTGTGTTTGTCAAATACAAGCAAAAGTTTGTGTAGAAAGTCACACAGGTAGAAGAAGTGAGCCCTGGGATAAGGGAGCCAGCTGAGCTGGCTGGGTTCAGGAAGCAAGTTACAGAGGCAAAAGTAGGGCTTAGGAGAAACAGCAAGGCCACAGCCTGGGGGAGGTAGGGGCGGAAAGGCTCCGGGGAGCCTCAGAGAGTGTGCTCTGGGGAAAGAAAGGGGTTGGGGAAGGGCAGTGCCTGGTGTGCTCCACAGAGAGCCACTCCCACCCTCCTTGAAAGTCCGTGTCCTGGGAAACCCCACAGGCCTGGTGGGTCACCCTCAGTGGGCAGGAGACCAACTCTGTGGGGCCGAGGAATATCCCAAGTGACTCACCTTTGAAGAAGAAGGTTTCCCCACGGATGTTGGCGATAGCATCAAAATTGCCATCACATCGATCAGGGACAGGAAGGGAGGGGCTGAGGAGGAAAGGAGAGGTGAGGAGAAAGGGGTCAGGGCTCCTCCTCTCTGTACTTCACCTTGAGGACAGCCCTGGGGGGACTCTTACTGAGCCCCCGCACCAAAGAGGACACCCTGGGGAGGGGAGGCTGCTCACCCAAGATTGCAAAGCTGGAGGAGGACTCACCTTCCTGGGGGCTGGGCGGGGGGCAGAGGAGGAGGAGCCAGGGGTTTCCTTGTGGGCTCATCATATGGGGTTTGGGGTGCTTTCCCTGAGAGAGAGAGTCAGAGAGACATGTGTTCCCCGACCCTGCTGCAGATGCCACATGGGGAGCACCCTCCAACCCCCTCTCACCCCACACTCCCCCCCCCCACACACAACTCCCTGTACCATAGAGCTGCTGCAGGCCTTCACGGTCATCCTGGGACAGCCGGTACTTGGTGGGATCGCCGACAGGACCCTGGTAAAAGGGCCTCATGATGGAGTCAGGGGCAGAGGAGTGGCCCAGGCCCAGGGCGTGGCCAAACTCATGGACTGCCACTGCAAACAGGTCTGTCCCCTCACCATCTGGGGAGGAAGGGAGACTGGGCTGGAGCTGGAGCTGGAGCAGCCAGGAACAGGGCAGTGAGGAAGCCCCTGGGAGCGGGGCCTGCTGGCAGCCAGGAATAGCCAGGAGACCCTCAGAGGAGGAACAGCGTCCTCTGCCCAAAAGCCTCCCTGAGCCACTTCAGCCTTCCTGTAGGAGTTGACTTATTCAGACAGTATTTTTGCTCAGCAGTGCCAGACCCTGGGATCCTGGGCTTACATGGCCGTGGTCGGCAAATTACGGCTCTCGAGCCACATGCGGCTCTTTGGCCCCTCGAGTGTGGCTCTTCCAGGAAATACCACGGCCTGGGCGAGTCTATTTTGAAGAAGTGGCGTTAGAAGAAGTTTAAGTTTTAAAAAATTGAGCTCTCAAAAGACATTTCAATCGCTGTTGTACCATTGATATTTGGCTCTGTTGACTAATGAGTTTGCCGACCACTGGGTTAGGGAAAGGTCAGGAGGAGACAGTCTGGCCCAAGGAAGACTAGCCTCACTGACGTAGGCCTGACCAGAGAGAGATGGGGGAGGGGAAGCAGGAGACTGGGGTGCACACAGTTCCCTCAAGGAAAGTCCCAGCCCTTCCAGTTTCCCTCTCCCAGCTCCAGCCGGTGGTCAGAGGTCCCCCCCACCCCTCGACACCCTCCGCACTCCCACCCATGAGGAATGCTGCTCAGTCACCTTGGCCTCTGCTCCTGAGACCTTCAGAATCCTGCTCCCACCCCCATGGTCCTCCCCCCTCCCCTCCTCCCATCTCTGTGGCCCTTTCCCATCTCTCCCTCCCACAGCCTCTGCCGCTCCCCACCCCTCTGGGGTCCTGGCCTCTCCTCCCACCACTGCAGCCCCCATCCATCTCCTCAGAAGCCGCAGCCTCAGCATGCACTCTCTGACCACAGTCTGCTGGCCTGGGTGCTCAGCCTCACTCCCTGCCTCTCTCTGCACACGGAGGCCTCTTCCTTGGGGACCCAGCCCAGGCGCCAGAAGCAAGCCTCTCTACATTCCCAGCTGCTGGCCAAACCTCAGCTCCTCTTCCATGCGCAAGCTTCCTGCTGGCCCCCCGCTTCGCAGGTGAGAGGCCAAAAGAGACAGAGACAGTGAGAGGGGCGAGGAGCCCCCAGGAGGCATAGCTCCCCCCCCCCCATGTTGATTTACTTCATGGAAACCTCTAACCGGCATCGGCAGTGCTGAACATGGCTTAATTGGACGTGGCCTAGGAACTGA